ACTACTGTATAAAGAAGCCATTTTTTAGATTTGGTAATGTTTTGCTATACGTGTTCTTTCTAAATGGCAGCGCTTAATAATGTTTATATTGCCTTTGACCTTTTACTGACTGCTGCAGCTCAGTTCCAAGATGTGGTTTCAAACCCAATATTCACAGGCCGCCCCTCGCTCCTTTAAGACTACTAACCTCCTATTCCTAGAAGGTATCTCATTGCCTTACTAACCATCTTAATCAGTCCGCTGGGCAAGAAAGGAGCCTGCAGGGTAGTAGCTGGCAGCCGTCATTGCAATAGTTTGTGTCTGTCCGAGGCTGTGTGCTATGTGGTTCACTTCTATCGTTAAATCTTCAGAACAATCCGATGAATCAAAAGCTATTTCTGTACATTCCTAAATGAGATGAAGTGTTTTCTCCAAAATTAGCCTTCAGAAAGTAGTCACCTTACATTTTAGTCTTTACAAAGAATGCCCTATTGTGGAGATTATTTTAACCCAAAAGTAGTTTAAGCATTGTCCCAATGTTATGCAGATGGTGCCTATGATACAGGATTGCCTAATATTCAGGCATTTGCAGTATTATTTCCATTTTACAGATGAGGCCATTGAGACTTGGAGAAGTTGAATATTTGCCCAAGGTCATATAGCGAGTAAGTGGTACAGCCAGGATTCAAACCCAGAGTATCATCTTATTCCCACATCCTCACTGTTAATCCTCATGAGATGCTTTCTCCCACCTTTAAAAAGGTTTTCAATCTAGGAAATCACCGATCTTTTTCTTGCTTCTTATTGAGGTACCATTCTGAGAGCAGAGCAGAGCAGAAAATGGACATACATTCAGTCTGGAGCCATGCTTCTATAGATAGCACTAGGATGGTCTAGTTTATCTTCCAAGCCAAGGTGGCACAGGGTTCCCTCTGCTCCATCCTGGCAGATGACCACCCTGCCTCCCTTTGCCATTGGTGGGAAGTCCACTGCTTCCTGGGTCAGTCCCGTGGCTGATGGCTCTGGTTGTTAGGAGTTCGGATACTGAGTCTTCTCTTCCCTCCCCCGCCCTTCCCCTTCCTTCCCTTCCCCTCCCCTCCCCTTCCTTATAAGCATTTTATTTTAGAATAGTTTTAGATTTACAGAAAACTTCCCAAGATAGTACAGTTTCTGTACATCCTTCACTTTATTGTTAAAATCTTATATTACTGTGGTACATTTGTCAAAACAAAGAAACTAACATGGGCACATTACTATTAACTATATACTCCAGACTTCATTTAGATTTCATTAATTTTTCCCTAAAGTCGTTTACGTGTTCCGGGACCCCATCCAGGATACTACAATTACATTTAGTAGTTATGTTTTCTTAGTCTCAACCGGTATGTGACAGTTTTTCAGTCTTTCCTTGTTGTTCATGACCTTGACAGTTTTGAGGAGTACTGGTGAGGCATTTTGTGGAACATCCCTCAGTTGGGATTTGTCTCATATTTTTGTCATGGTTAGACTGAGGTTATGGGTTTTGGGGAAGAATACCACAAAAGTGAAGTACCATTCTCAACACATCATCTTAGGGAAGACGACATCACCTTAGGGACATATAATATCAATATGACGTCACCGGTTGTGTTAACCTTGATCTCCTAGCTAAGATAAACTGACTCCTCCCTCTCCTGTGTGTTTTAGAAGCAAGTCACTACGCGTAGCCCGTATTCAAGGAGCGGGAGAATTAACTCCACCTCCTGAAAGAGAGAGTATCTATATAAGTTATTTGGAATTCTGTAAGAAAGATTTATCTCTCCCCCTATACTTATATTTATTAATTTAATCACCCACATATGTCCATGTGGACTGATAGATATTTACTGTATACTTTGATTTATAATCAAATACTACTTTATTTATTTTGTTGTTCAAATCGTTTAGTTTTGGTCACTGGGAAGTCTTTCAGTTGGCTCCTGTGTTCTTTTGATGTGTCTCTGTCCTTTTTTTTTTTTTAGCACTTCCTTACTTTCTGGCACTAAGGTCTTCTAGGCTCATCTTGTATGTTCCCTGCCCCATCTCAGAGTCAGCCATTTTTCCAAGGATCCTTGGTTCCTTTTATGGAAGAATTATACTGGAAACTAAGATCTGGCCATCAGGTGTGCTCATTGCTACCGGGGTGTCACTACTTCTAGATCCTCTCAGTGGACGGTGGGAGATACACGTATGCATGGAGCCCACATTACACACATATCTACAGTTATTTCTGGATTCGTCCGTCTGTACCTACAGTAAAGTTTTATGAGCATTTGTATTTTGCTGCGCAGCCAACAATAAGAGCGTGACTCGCTGCCTTCTGCTACCAATGGTACAGTGAGAAAAATGGGGAGGGGGAAAAGAAAGTGAAAACGGAGACCTGGGCATAACGTGACTGATTGCTCAGCCATCTTCTAGTCAGATTATGTCAGTTTAGAGACGAAGAGATGCCACGAGGTTAAGAAACTAGTTGGAGGAACAGTCAGGGTTGGAATCTGGCTTTTTGAAGTGGAATCTCCTTATTTCCACCATATCCCAGGCCTCTTTGAGAGGGGTCTGTATTCTTGGTTTTGTATTCAACTCACTTATTGACTTCTTGAGATGCATCAAGCATGCTTAGAATGTAATTTCAGCAATTGGCATGTATGATAGAAGACTGCTGAGTGTCACTAATGAGGGGTTTTGCTCTCCACATCGTAGATCAATGGAAACGAAGCGCTGAAGGCCAGGTGTTAGTGAATCTTTACACATGATTATGGTGATTATCCTACTCTGCTTTGCTTTTTATAACTATCTTTTGAAAAATCCTTTTGCTCTGGGGAGAGGACCACAGGGCTCCTGTGGGATAGATGCTTTATGTATACACCTGCTTTTCAGAAATGAGATATCAAGCAATGAAGGAATCCGCTTATCATCATCCAAGGAGGTGGTGGTGGGGTAAACAGCAAGAAATGAAAGCTGCAGCTTCGCGGCCCTCTTTGAACAGGCCAACCACAGCACTCCTCTCTCTTAAATTGCTTTTGGCAGCTCGTAAAGCCAAGAAAGAACACTGAGGGCTCCTCCAGAGAGACTCCTGAAGCTGCAGGGAAGTCCTAGGTGCCTTTAGACCTCTTGGCCCCTTGTCCTTTGGAGGAGTATGTGCGTTTACATTTGGTAAATTGTTTTGTCACCACGTAACCGTAAAATCTCTGTTCTGTTCTCTTCCATTCTTACCTTATCCGTTCCAAAGACTTAGCGTTTCATTTTTGTGTGGTACATCGTGAACTTCCAAGATTTTTAGTGGAAATAAATGGTAACAGCTGTTTTTGTGTATGAAATATAATTATGAACCTTCACCTTGAGATGATATATCCAAATTTTTCCAGGTGTGGGAACGACTTGACTAGAAAAGCTCATTTTTGGTAATCGTCCCACTATAGAACCACAGTAAGCCGTTTGCTGTTAGCTCTCTCTTCAGAAAGAGAGAGGCTTTCTATGGAATAAAGAGTTTTTCTTTATTCCAATATTCCCTTTTAAACATGGCTTTTCCTGTGTAAAACAGTGCACATTCGCGCACACACCAACACACACACACCCCAGAGTTCCATCTTTTTCCCTGCTTTTTCTCCTTAGCGTTTACCACTATCTAATATACTACGATAGTCCCCCCTTATTTGCAGGGCACGCGTTCCGAGATCCCCTGTGGATGCCTGAAACTACAC